CCGGGGCTCGGGCCGCTGGACGTGCTGCGGGGTCCCTCGTGCGGTGCAGCCCCCGGGCCTGGCAGCCGCAGGCTCATTTCCCTCTTTTCATCCCTCCGAACCCTTCCAGAGACCCGGGGTAGGGGGCCCTGGCGCTGCAGCGGGGGATGGACCCGAGCCCCGGGAGACCAGCCAAGGGTTGGGGCTGGAGAGGAGGCAGAGCGCCAGGGAAGGGGAAGGAGCGGAGCAGGCGCTGGGGTGGAGAAGGCTGAGGAAGGACAGTCTAGAGGAGGCCGGAGAGGGCAGCAAAGCAAATCTCCTCCCGGCGTCATGCCCCTGGCTGCCCTAGCTCGTGTGTGGCCTTGCCCAGCCCTCGCCCCTTCGGCCGGACGGCGCAGCCGCTGTGGACAGGGCCGCAGCCTGCCCTGGCTTTGCAGCGCGCGGGCGGCGTGGGCTACTTTCTCTCTCCCTGCTTGGGGTTATTTATTCCCCCTCCCTACAGGAATGACAGCCCAGCTGTGGGCTGCGTGCTGCTCCCTGGCGGCTCTGCCACGGGAACGGGGTCCTGCTGACACGGGGGTGGGCCAGGCTCCTGCTGGAGTTTCTCCTGCTCTGAACATGAGGTGTGTCAGCTTGCTGTCATAGATTTCGTAGACATTTGGGCTGGAAGGGACCTGGGAAGATCGAGTCCAGCCCCCGCCCCGGGGCAGGAAGTCAGCTGGGGTGATAGCAAGATAGACAGTGAAGAGGTTCTTCCTGAAACGGTGGCGGAGGAGGTTGTGACTGTTTGACCTCATCACCCCTTGGGGCACTCTGGTGTCTGGCTCAGGGGTAACGTGTCCCCAGTGGGTGCAAGAAACGCGTGTTTGTGAGCAAGATGCTTTATTGGCAGCCCTGGTGTGCCACCTCCCTGGGGAAGGAGAAGCCCTGGTTGTTGCACCCCTTCCACCAGCAAAGGCCTGGCCCCGGGGGGACAGGGTCCGGACTGGCGGGGCCGGGGATGGTCCTGTAGCCCCGCCACGGACGGGTTGGGTTCCCTGGAGCTCACCTGGCCCCGCCACCTCCTTTGTTTTGAACAGTTTCTCGGGTGACTCATTTGGTTTTTCAGGCCACTTCACAGTTCTGGGGAAAGCTGAGCATGGGGCGTGTGGGCTCCTGGGGCAGGTGGCCAGGAGTGGCACATCCAGGATCTGAGTGTGTCCTGGCTTGTGCCCTGATCCGTGTGAGACACAATAGCAGAGGGTGCATAAGTGCCTGTGCGGGGACCGCGGACTCTGCAGGTTGCTCACCCCAGGAACCATCTCACCTGTGTTTGGGACCTGTTGGCCCGAGGCCCGGGGCACAAGTGTTTTGCTTGGGCTGCCCAGAAAAAGCCTTGCAGTGTTTAGCAAGTGGGTGAGGCAGCTGTGCTGCACTTTGTTCAGGGCAGCCCTGGCACTTGTTCAGGGTATCTTCTGCCTTTGGATCATTTGCATCTGAGCATTTACATATAACCCAGTTTCCAGAGAACCAGGGAGTGACTGGAGGGCCCGCACGCAGGGCACGAAGCACCCGTGCTGGTTCAAGCACTGCCCTCTCTCCGCTTCCCTTCCTGGGAACAGCCTGGGCTCCTTCCCTTCTGTGCCGGGGGCTGTCAGCACAGGTCCCTCATTTCCAAGCTGTGGGAGGTGACGTGGTGGTCAAAGCCCAGCGCCTGTCTGCGCAGCCGGAGGGGCGGTGTGGGAGCTTGGTACAAGGCAAAAGCAGGTGTGGATGAGTCCTGCAAGGGCCTGGCTGCCTTCTTCACCTGGACAGTCCATGGCTCTTGCCCCTGCCCCTGCCCCTGCCCCTGCCCGCCCGGCCTGGTTGTGTGGGAGGGAATGAGAAGGCGAACCTGTTCTCAAAGCGTGCCCAAGGAGAGCTGGCCTTGGCGTGGGGACGGGCTGAGAACGGACCCGTGACACAACGCGCAGGATGAGTTGAGCGGAAACATGGATAGGGATCGCGTCCTCCAAGGTCTCGTGGTAGCTCCGTCCGTCTCTGCCTCTGTTCCCTGAGAGCAGTTGAAGGTCGGTTTTTATTTAGACCAGCGCAGAAGAGGCGAGGGAGAGAGATCTCCAAAGAGGCAGCAAGAAGGAAGTGTTTGGGGTCAGGAGGAATTTCCCCTGTGGTCAGACTGGTACAGATGTGGCCCTCCTCGGCAGTGGGGGCGCAGCCCATTCCTGGGATGTCTGGCGTGCGCACGGAGCAGCTTTGCCACAGCAGGATGTTGCAGGCAGGTGCAGGTGTTGTCAGGAGCGATCATAGTTTTGCTGAGAGGTTGGACAACGGATTTGTCAAGGCTGGACCCAGCCTCAGGCAACGGGCTGTGGTACGTGACCCCTGCGGTCCCCTTCTACCCCACTTCTCTCTGCCTCGAGGAGAACATCAGGGCCCCCAAGCTTCCCCGAGAGGGTCTCTGGTCGTGGGCATGCAGACGGGACAGAGAAGACCGGCGGCTTCTGTTTTGCCTCCTGCCCTTACTAGAACGAGGCCACGCTCGAGGAAACTACCAGGCGCCCAGTTTAGAAGGGATCAAAGGAAAGGCTTATTACACTGCACACGACTAACCAGGAGGATTGCTGCAGGCAGGATTAGGTGTCTGCCGTGATCTGGATTCAGATCTCGCACCTGAGGCTAGCTCTGCTTTGGGACAGGAGCAGCCGTGATCAGCCGTGGAGCACACTAGGAGCTGTGGTGCCCACCCAGCAGCGCACAGCTCTCCCTGGTAGGGAGGGTAGGAGCATAGTTTACCAGCCCAGCAAACACGCTTAGTGCTAATAACTGCTAATAAAAGGTTCTCCCAAATAAACAGGCCACAGCTGCGGGATGTACCCCGATAATGAAGAGTCAGCTGGCAGGCAGGCCATCCCTGAACAG